AAAAGTGGCTGTAAATTTTTAGGCTCTCAGTTGAATTAATACAGTTATACAATATTGAACTCAGTATAAACCCTGAAGACATAAAATTGAGTTTTTAACCTTTAAAAAAGATCTCCATTTCATTTCAAAATATGCTGTTTCTTACACCAAGACTCTGTTTTTGCTAATCACACTTAGATGTTGGCACATGCATCTCTAATCTGTATGTATCTGATTATTACTAGTCATGGTCTGTTGCACTCGGATCTTTGGCACCTGTGTATGGATATAAAGTCATCCAGTAAATTTCAGTGATAATGTTTATCACCTCTACTAATTAACATGACATAAATCTTTATGCTTCCCCCTCAAATAAAACTCATTTTTTAAATTTGATTTTTTTTGTGTATATCACACACAACATCCCAAACAATCTTATTCATCTATATACCCATTTCCCAGATGGCACCCTCCCATAGCCTTCCCCCGCCTCCACTAGAGCCCTTATATTCTGTCTTCCCTGCTGTGTTGTCGGCACCCCCAGCCGTTTCCCACTACTTGTCCATCTGGTGAATCTAGTCAGCCTATCTAGAGGTCTTTGTTTTAGGAAGATCAGCTGTTCCTCATCTAGCAGCAATCAGTTGTCAATATTCCTTTAGATAAGATTGGGGTCTGCTGTTCATTTTCCCAGTTTTATGCTGGGTTACCATCTGGGATTCTCTTGGGCCATCCTGGCCAACAACTCAAAAGAAAATCTCTCCTATCTGGCATTGTTTCTTGTTATGTAGCCTTTAACTATACATATGGACTCTTAAAAAATTATATTGGCCCCTTTAATCTTTGGTTATACTTTCCTTTTGGGTATTTAAGGCCATACAGTTGGCCCAGATAAACCAATTTATTTAGACTCTTAAGGCCGTTTGAGGATCTGTTCCTCAGGGGTCACATGGGCTTGGTTATTTTTATCTTATGCATATGAGTGTATGCCTTGCCTGTGTGTGAAATACACCCATGTCCTGCAATGTCTATGGAGATCAGGTGAGGGTGTTGGATTCCCCTGGAACTGGAGTTACAGTCAGTTGTTGGCCACAATATGGGTGCTGGGAATCAAACCCAGGTCCTCTGCCAATGCTTTTAACCTCTAGGCCATCTCTCCAGTCCCCAAATTTTACCACTGAAAAAAAAATTTATTTCATGTATGAGTGCTTTGCTGCATGTACATGCACCCATGCATGCACTGCCAGTAGAGGCCAGAAGAGGGCATCAGATCCTCTGGAACTGGCATTAGTGCATGGATGGTTGTTAGCCGCCTTGTTCATGGGTGATGGGAATTGAACCCAAGTCCTCTGCAAAAGCCATCTTTCCAGTTCTTTGATTCCCAAGTTTTATAGCTGAGGAGTCTCCAGAGCCTGCTCAGAGACAGAGTAACAGTGTGAAGTTTGCACACCAGGCACAGGCCCTGAGAGCCACTCCTCTCCTGTAGGACAGATCTTGGCGGCCCTTCAGCTGCTTTAGCATCCTGATGTTTCTAGTCATCTTTTCCTTTTCTGGTTCAGTATTTCTGGTCATTTGAAGTCTCTGAGGTTTGTAAATATCTCCAAGCGGTGAGTGGGTGAGGGTCTTGAGGCCCAACCGTGATATAAGACAGTTGGCCCAAGATCACATTCTATGCAAAGAAAATCAACCCCAGTTTAAATGGCCCTGGGGCTTATACCTGAGTGGGGCAGTCTAGGGGGGCTGCTTGGAGGAGGTCCTGTGCACACACAGGAGTTTACAGAGAGTCAAAATGAGGTCTTTCTAACAGAAGGAATGGCATTTACCAAGTCAGTAAGGCAAAGAGTAAATACTTGCTATCTTGGCACAGTTCTGAGAAGCGGGTGATGCTTGTGGCAAGGCCTTTGTGCTTCCTCTTTTCGTTCTCTATTTCCTCCCTACATGATGTAGATAAATAGCTTGTGAGGTTGTCTCCTGCTGGAGGTTCAGAAGGAGGCTGCCTGTCCCCCACTTGGAGGTAGGACGGCGGCTGAATGATGGGGTGAAAGCAAGAGTGTGGGGGTCTCCGGAGGGAAAGGGACCAGGGGAGCTGGGGTATCTGGCAGCAGGTGAGGTGAGGAGGGGCTGAATGATGGGGTGAAAGGGAAAGGGACCAGGGGAGCTGGGGTATCTGGCAGCAGGTGAGGTGAGGAGTCACTCCTCTCAGGCAGGCACTGAGATGAAGGGCAGGAGGAGAGAGCGTGGAATCAGATGCTGTGTTCTGTCCCTTGGCACAAAGGCATCGTGACTGGGGTGCTGGTGGCTGTGAGAATGAGCCATCCCTGAGCTTCTGCCTCACATCTCTGCAGAAGGGACAGCAGAGCCGACAGTCTGAGACCTGTATGATTAGTAGATTCAGAAGTGTGTGTGTGTGTGTGTGTGTGTGTACAAGTTGGATGGGGTGGTTTGATCTATTTAGGCTTGTGTTTGAAAAACTTTCTGTTGCTGTGACAAATGCTTGGAGACAAACAGTTTAAAGAAGGAAAAGTTTTTGGGGGCTCCTGGTTTTAGAACTCCCGGCCCCTGATTGACTGGCTGCATTGCTCTGGGCATGTGGTAAGACAGAGCATCTGGGCAGCAAGAGGGTGTGACAGTAAAGTTACCTGTGATGGCCAGAAAGCAGAACAAGACAGGAAGGGGCGAAGACCAAGATGTACCCTTCAAAGGTTATCCACTTCCTCTGATTTTCTCCACCTCCCAATAACGTATTAAACAAAACAAAAAAAATTTTTTTTGAGACAGATTCTCATGTAGCCCAGGCTGTCCTCCAACTTGCTATGTAGCCAAGGATGACCTTGAACTCCTGATCTTCCTGCCTCTACCACCTGAGTGGTGGGATTATAGATGTGTGCTTCCACACTCGGTTTTATGTGGTGCTGGGAATCAAACCCAGGGCTTCCTTTCATACCAGGGAAGAACTCTACCAACTGCACTACATCCCGGCCCCTCTACTTAAAATATGAATCCATTAGTAGATTAAGTCATTGATTAAGTGAACTTCACTAATCTAGGCATCTCTCGACAGTTGAAGTTAAGCATTACAAGCCTCAGAGCCCACGGCGGCCTGGGAACTCCGTCAAGGACCTGGGAAGTATCACCCTTTTTGCGGAGATGGATAAGGACACTGTTCATATTATCTTTTTATTTTATAAGATTTATTCTAGTTTTAATTATGTGTATTTGTGTGGGGGTGGGTGTGGGTTTATGCATTTGAGTGTATCTCCCTCAGAGGCCAGAAGAGGGTGTCAGATTCCCTAGAGCTGGAGTTACAAGTGGTTGTGAACTTCCTGACACAGGTGCTAGAGCCCAAACCCAGGTCCTCTGGAAGAATTGCAGCTGTTCTTAACTATTGAGCCCTCTCTCCAGCATCCACCCCCATCCCAAGAGTTTTTCTAAAAGTTTCCTTAAGATTATAATTTTTTAATATGAGTATCATCTGTGAATAAAGACAGTCTTACTACCTCTGTACCAGTCAGTAAAGTTTTATTTCTTGTCTGACTTACTGGATTGCTGAGGCGCCCAGCAGTAGCTGTAGAAATGTGGACATCTGCACCTTTTTACAAATCTCAGGGGAAACTGGTTGGAGGCTTTTATTTTTGTTTTAAATAACAATCTTTTTATTTTTATTTTACCTTATATTTTGGTTTTCTGATACAGGGTTTCCCTGCCTCTGCCTCAGGAGTGCTGGAATTAAAGACCAGTGTGGCACCATGCTTGGCTATTTATTTTTAGTTCATGCCTGCATGTTTGTAAGTGCACTGTGTCATGAAATGCCTGAGTGGGCCCAAAGAGGGCGTCAGATCCCCTGGAACTAGAGTTAGCTGCCATGTGGACGCTGGGAATTGAATTGCAGTCCTCTACAAGAGTAGCCAATTCTCTTAACCACCGAGCAATCTCTCTAACCTTTAAACAACAGTTTTTAAATAGAAAAAGAGGGTCTTTGTATTTACTCAAGATGGGATTTTTTGGATTTCTTGTCTCTATGAGTTCATAAGAGTATTTTTTAAAAACTAAATATGTAAGAATTTCAGCCATTCTTTAACTTTCCACACACCATCCTAGTCTTGTCTGACCAACGATGTGGATGATAGGCTGCCTAGCTTTGCTACAGAGGTTCTGTTCTGTGCGTCTTTGAATCGGATAGTTTTGATGACTATGTTCTCAAGTTCACTCATATTAGCCCAACTCAGTAAGAATTAAGTCTCCCTTTCTTGACTGGTTTTTGTTTCTAGGAGTTTTATTTGTTCTTATTTTGCCATCCTCTGTTTCTTTGCTCATACTGTTTTAAAAATCATTCTTCCTGAAGGGGAAATCTTGGGTCCTGAATGCTTCTCGCATGGTCACCCCTCCCTGGTGGCTTTCCTGGAAGGCTGTGTCTCACAATGCCCCCCCTCAAATGATGGCCCCTCTGGTATGACTCATTCTCAGTCACAGGGCAATCTGTGGACAGGGCACTCCTCAGACTGGAGTCCTGCACGACTGAACTTCCCTACCCCACCCTCCTTGTAATGGGGCAACCCACCCTGCACCTGCCTGATATGAAACACCCACAGCCCCAAACCCCTTCCCCCTCCCTGAGGGAGAAAAATAGAAACACCTTGAATCCGTAAGGGAGGGTGTGCTCTTCTCCGGATTCTGGGCTGTGAGGAGGTTCCCAGTTCCTCCTCCAGCCCCTGGGCCATGGGTGGGAGTGCCCTCTCAAGTTTATTCATTTCTCTAACAAAATGCTTGCTCTGTAGAAAACCAGTTTTTCCTTTACCTCCTTCCTGCTTTCTATTCTTTCTGTTTCTTTACCACTCCTGTTTGTAGTCATGGTTCCGAGCATTCACAAGTCAGTGATCGACGCCACTCTGAAGTTCTTGGACCGGCTTTTTCCTCCTTGTTATGAGTTTCTTCCTCCCCCTCCCCCTCCCCCTCCCCCTTATATAGCCCTGGCCAGCCTGGAACTCAGTATGTAGGCCAAGCTTGTTTTGAACTCACAGAGACCTTCCTGACTCTACCTCTGGAGTGATTGAGTCTTCCTTCAAAAATGCTGGGCTTTGATCTCACATGTAGTTAAGCAACTCCCAGGTGGTTAGGCTTTTTCCAAGGTTACTTTTTAATTAATTAATTTTTATTCTATGAGTGTTATGCCTGCATGTATGTAAGTGCACCCGTGTCATGCAATGCCTGCAGAGGACAGAAGAGGGTGCTAGATCCCCTGGAACTGGAGTTATGGATGGTTGTCAGCTGTCATGTGGGTGCTGGACTTTGAACCCAGGTCCTCTGTAAGAGCAGACAGTGCTCTTTACCACTGGGCCATCTCTCCAGCCCCCAAGATAACTTTTTCAGCTTTTTTAGAGTAGTTCCAAATTAGCCTGGCCCTGGCCAGTGTAGTCCCACCATTAAGGTGCTTTCTTCTTGACTCTTGGCTAAGTGCTCTATTGAGCATGCAGGTTGTCCTGGGAAGTCCTTCCTACTGGCTGGTTAGAACCCAAACATCTTCCAGTCCTCCATAGTTCTGGAAATGGTTGAGAATGTACTGGCTCTTGCTCAGTCTCCTGGACTGTCAGCTGTGCATGCGTGGTTTGATATTCAGCCTCAGTAGTCTGCAACGGGCTCCCTGAGGCTCTCTGGGAGGGTTCTCTGGGGCTCTGTTTTCCACACCCCCTTTGGTTGTCAATGCAAGGAAACTGCAGCTTCCTCCTCCTCCTCTGAGTCAGATCCATGTCTCTTTAACTCAGCAAGACTGCTCTGGGTTCTTCTCCAACATCACAGTCTGGAAAGTGTCAAATGGTAAGAGGATCCCAGGACTCCCTTTATTTATTTCTTTTTCTGAAAAAGGACAGTCCTGTGGCATTTATTTCCCGATATCCGAAAATAGACTTTTAGTATACCTTGTTCCATTTTATGTCTTTTTTTTTTTTTTAAGATGAGGTCTTATGTTTTCCAGGCTGGTTTTGAACTCCTGTTCTCAAGCCATCCTCCTGCCTCAGACTCTGATGTCCATGCCACAGGTGTGTGCTATGGCATTTGGTCCAGGTTTTATAGTAGAAGGGTAAATCATCATAGTCAATCCATCCCAGCCAGAAGACCAAAGTCCCCCATGTTTGTCTTTTGTCTCTGGTTCTCTACAGTCAATAATTGGACCATTTTTGTGTTGGTTTGGACATGGGTCTGTGTGTGTCATGCATGTGTGTGTGTACATTTGTGCAGATGGTATGTGTGTGAGCCTGGTGGAGGCTGGGTGTGAGATAGGGAGCTGTAGACCAGGAGATGTGGGGGGGAGCGGAGAAGATGCACAGCAACTCAGAGGTCAGGGGAATTTTCCTAAGCACCGGAGGAGAGCCTGCAGGGTCTGGCAGCATTAAGGACCAGCCTGGATTCCAGGCAGGAGCTAAAGGTAGGCCAGTGGTGAGGTTTACTCAGTGGTGCGGGGTAGGGCTCCTGAAGACCGAGAGTTAGCCAAGATGGCAGGTTTGCCTAGTTGTAGAGAAGATGGAGAGAGTGGGCAGGTGCCAATGGTGGGTAATGAGGGCTTATTAAATGTAATAATGGAGCAGTACTGCTGTTTCTGGGAAGGAAGCTGACACATACTTATTCTTCAGAAAAGGGTTAGTTAGGAGAACGGACTTTGAGATCATGACGGGGCCTGGCAGTGGGAGGGAGCGCATCAGATGCAACATGGTACAAAATGTGTGAGAGCCAGGCATGCTGAGGAGAGGCTTCCCTTTAAAACCTGTGGAGGAGCTTGAGAGAGAGAGAGAGAGAGAGAGAGAGAGAGAGAGAGAGAGAGGGAGAGAGAGAGAGAGAGAGAGAGAGAGAGAGACTGGGGAGGCAGAGGCAGAGGCAGGTGGATCTCTGTGAGTTCAAGGTCAACCTGATCTACAAAGCGAGTTCCAGGCCAGCTGTGGCTTGGGGAGGGTGGTCCTAGAGACCAAGAGGGATGGGAGACGGTGTTGGAGAAGGCTAGAAGATACTCTGCAGAGAAACCTCCTCCCCCCACAACAAAGCAAGATCTGACTTCTAACTTTACAGGGGGTGACAGGAATTTTTATGTCATGTTATTTAATTCAACATAGTGTATGAGACAAAGAGCATAGCTGGATACAGGTTAGGACCATTATCAGGGGCTGCTGTTAGGCCACAGCTGAGGCATCATCTTAATTATCTGTCCTAGAGAGAGCTGCAGGAGATGTGACCTGATTTCTTCAGGCTGTGGGATCTGGCCTCTTAAGAGTGACCATTGTCTTAGAAAGGAAGACCTGTGTTCTAACAGTGCTCACCTCTGCACTGTACCGTGAGCGCCACCCCAATCATGTCCTCCCCTTTCCCTCCAGCCTCTGCTCTCAGAGTCTTCATGGTTAGCATGAGCCCTCATGGGCATTTGGTTCCCACTGAGGTTGTCTGAGTAAGCATGTGCAGCTGTGTGTCAGTGCACAAGCCTGTGTGTTGTGTAGGAATAGGTTTTGAGGCCTCTGACTCTTTGTATAAACCTCACCAAAGACGGTAAGGGAAAAACTATGTCTCAGCCCAGCCTCTGGAAGGGCCAAGGGACCAGGCAGTGATAGCCTGGGTTAGAGGAGGCCAATGGAGGCTGTGGTGTGGGGTAAGGTGTGGCCTTGAGGCTACAGAGAACAGAAGTATCACCTGCAGAAGGAGGGTCCCCAAGCAAGTCTACCTGAGAGCTCACCTCTAAACACAAGGGTGCATCCCAAGGGGTGCAGAGCATGCACCCAGTTTCCATGAACTGTGGACACAGGAGCACAGCTGTAACCAGGAGTCTGGGATACAGTGCAGAAGGCAGCACAGTGCCCAGGCCTCCACGCCCTCCTACCGCGGCCATCACCCTGGCCCCATGGAGAGAAGGAGGTCACCCTGATCCTGTCCAAAATCTGCCTTCTCAGGCCCTGAGGGAGGAGCAGCCTCGGTGGATGGAAGAAAAGACAACTGGTGACAGCTCTGCCAGGCCGCAGTCTGGGGATGAACCCAGGATTCCGCACAGTGAGGATCCCACCTTGCCTATAGCTACAGCCTACCTGTGCTAGCCACCTCAGTCCCAGAGCTGACCAGCAGATGGCGGTGATCCAGGGGCTGCTCCGAATGGCCCTGCTGACTCTGTTCTGGAGATCCAATGTGACAGAGACACAAAGTGAGTCTGAAGGTCCCTCCTCTTCCTAGCCCTCTTTTTGATGCTAGGCCCTGCAGGGTCCACCCCCACTGTACCCCTAAGAAGCTCCTAGGCCCCCAGCAGCTCTGTCCTTAATGCACAGCTCTGCCTCCTCCTTGGCCCCTCTCCCGGCTGCCTTGGTCCCCTTGCTCCTCAGTTCCTGCTCAAGCTCACCTATCCCTGCAGTACCCAGCCCAGTGGTGTCCCCTCTCTGCCCACATTCTTTAATGTAACCCTCAAGGCCCAGATCTCCAGTGGGCTAGTCCCTTATCCACCCTTCCCCCTGACCCCCTAGTCCTCCGAGGGCTTTAGGGTCTCCCCTGCCCAGGGCCTCTAACCCGAGACTCTTTTCCTATGTCAGCCCAAGCCTTCTTCTGGTGCTTGGAGACTCTGTGGGATGCTCCTGGGGCTCCACAGGCGAGGAGATCCTCCTCAGTGTCCTGGAGAATTCCTTAGGGACAATGTGGGAGCCACATTCTCTTTGTTAAACTTGAACCCAGTGAGCAGGTCTGGGCCCCAGGCGGGGATATGCCAGTTGCATTACAGACCCAAGCTGGGTCATTTCTGTCAGGCCATAGGCAGGGCCTGTGATGACGTGCGAGCCCATCCTGGGTCCTGGGGGCTATGCAGCACAGGAGGGCCCAGGTACAGCCAAGAATCCACTAGAATCCATGTTCCTGACAGGAGAGGGGTGACCCTAGCCAGGACTCTAACACAGCCCCACCAGGCTCAGGGCCCTCTGCCTGACTACCCTGGTCTTGGCAGGAAGCTGGAAAGCCATCCTAGGGCTAGTGTCTGGAGGAGTTGTGGGAGGGTGGCAGGGACACCTGGAGGAGAGAAGGTGACTCTCCTGCCCGTCCATGTCAGATACTGTCCCACTGCAGACCTTGCAGTGCTACTATGACTACACCAGCCGCATCATCTGCAGCTGGGCAGACACCGAGGACGCCCCAGAGCTCATCAATGTGACCCTCTATCACTGGGTGAATGGGTGAGTACCGCTGGGGTAGAGGGCTTGGAACTGTGAGGAGGAGGGGGAGTCAGCATCAGTGCTGGATGGAACTGGGCAGATAACCAGGAGAGGAGGCTCCAAGCAGCTCCTGCCAGGCTCAGGTGCTAGAGTCTGATGTCAGAGCCTTGGGAACAGTCATTTACAGGGAGCTAGACAGGTCATAGATAGTGAGCAGCAGAGGGGGGACAGTGTCTGTGTTAGATCTGCAGCTGGACTACCTCTCCCTTGTGGGTCTCTCCCTCCCCTCATGGGCCGTTGGCCACCGATCCGCGAGAACAAAGGGAGCAGAGGTGACGAATGGGATCAGAATGGCCAGTGAGCATGGACGGAAAAGACCTCCCGGAGTCAGATTCAGTGATACAGCTCCGTTTATTCAATGGGGGTCAGGGAAAAATATAGGGTGGAGGCAGCAGCCAAAGCTTCAGCTGATAGGTGCTCATAGTGTGCTTTATTTACATGTGGTAGGGGGATCCTATCATCTGACTATAGGGCTATGCCTAATTATCATATAGAAAAAACCTGGGGGTAGTTTTATTGCTGTTAACTATGCCCAAGGTCATGTTCCAATTAAGGCCAGGCATCCGTGCTTGGAGGCACTTTCCAGATAAGGTCAGGCGGAGAGCAGGAAGCCCCTGCTGAGAAAGGGCGTCCTCCATACAGCACCGAGCTCCTTAGAGCTGTCTGGACATGGTGGACTGCAGCCTTAGCAGCAGGGTCCCCCAACATCCCGTATTGGTTCAGTTACTGATGTCTGACTCTGACATACCTGCCTGACGCCAAGTTTTTCCAGGATCCAGAACTAGAGTGCTGCACACCTGTGACAGAAGCCTGCATGTCTGCCGCATGGCCTTGGCATGTCCTGGCAGAGGCCAAAGCAGAGCACAGGCCATATGTCCATATCGACTTCTCTGCAAGGCTTTAAGAAAGCCTAGGCTTAAGTAGGAGGTCTCAAAGGCACCAACAGAGAAGCAGGGTGCTCATTTCTTCCTGGGAAATGCAATTGCATACCAGCAACCAAAAAGTAACAATATATTTGCCCTGAACGGTAATATTGGTTCCTGGAGGAGCTCCCAGGTCGGTCATGCCCTTAATACACAGCCCAAGAAGGGACAAGAACAGCTCTGGAATGAACACATACCTTCCTTCCCTAAGCAGACCTGGCCAGTCAATCTGTAGGCAATGTGTAAAGGGTCCTCAAGCCTATGAAAATTACGTTGAAAACTCACTTTTTGCTTTTTATATATTGCCAACAAACAACTAGATTCAAAACTATTAGCTTCTTTATCCACAAGTTTTCACAAACCATGAAAATGAATGTCATAGAAATCCATGTGAACGGAGGCCTCCGGCTCACTCTACACCCTGCTGCGCCTTCTAGCTTCCTGAGCTGTCTTCTTGCTCATGATACTTATACCCTTCCCTTGGCACAGTATAGACATGGATCCAGCCCTCATGTCCCCTGCTCAGCACCCCCTGTCGCCACCACCTCCTGTTTCAAGTTGTAGGAGGCCTCCGGCTCACTCCACACCCTGCTGCGCCTTCTAGCTTGCTGAGCCGTCTTCTTGCTCATGATACTTGTACCCTTCCCTTGGCACAGTGTAGACATGGATCCAGCCCTTATGTCCCCTGCTCAGCACCCCCTGTCGCCACCACCTCCTGTTTCAAGTTGTATCATCATCCCAATGAGTTGTCCCATCCTACGCTCTGTTCTCTTTGCATGAAGGTGTCTCCTGCTACTCATGCTACAGGCTATTTGGTTGTTTAGCATGTGCTTGGTTCCAGGATGCCTGTTCCACCCTCAGGGATCTGCGTGTGTGATGCTCCCAGTCAGACCCTGGCTCTAGGCAAAGCAGAACCATATAGCGACCACTCAATGAATGTCTGGTGGATGAATGCTTCTTATTCATCTGCAGGGACTCGCCACAGCCAGTGTCCTGTGACCTCAGTGAGGACCTGCTCTGGTCTGTGTGCTCACCACTCCACCGTTGTGTGCCCAGAAGATGTGTTATTTCCTATAAGAGCTTTGAGGTCTCTGTTGAACACTTCTCATTTCAACTGGACCGGTCTTTGCACACCCACCTCAAGGTTCCATTGGCCCAGCATGGTGAGGAGCTGGGGGTCCTTCCAGGGCTTAGCCTTGTCCAGGCAGTGGGCAGCAAAGGTGACTAGGCTGTAGGAGATGGGCTGGGTGCAAGGGTCTTCCAGAGGGTGGGGACCCTGCCCTGAAGTTGGAACAGGTGTGACACCAGGCCTTGACTCAACGTTCTACCAATGTGGCTGTTCCCCACACCTACCAATGCCCTGACTTCCATCCCTGAGGTTGGATGAACCATTCCTCTGGCTCACGTGGAACTTTGTAGTCAACAGAACTCTGGTCCGTCATCTCATCTCATGGCTATAGCAGTCCATCCTATGGCTGAGTCCCCTGAGTCCCACAGAGGTTCCAAAGTCCCATTATGGAACAGGGGGTGAACTAGTTGGGCCAAATTCTAATGCACTTCCATACATTAGACCAGACACGGGCCCTTTACCACCCTTGCTGGGTCTCAGGGTTGCACTGCAGATCCACGGAGACCCAGAGCCACAGCGTGGTCTCAGTAGGGCTGACCACCTCTTCCGTGAGGCTTTATTGAGGAATAGAGCAGGAGGCTTGTTGCCCACACTTCAGACTCCTGGTTCAAGGAAAGTGCAGCCTAGATGAGGCCAAGCGAGAAACAGGTTTGCCTTGATGTACCTGACCATGCGGTAGGCTGCTAGGGGCCACTGTAATTCCTGCTACATGCTGCTGTTACTACCTCTGGTGTCTGGTGAACCTGTGGCAGGGGAGGAGGAGGCCTTCCAAAGGCCTGGCTCTGAAGGTGGTAGTGCTGGGGTCAGGTGGCAGATGGGCCCAGCGTGCTCTGACTCAGTCTCTAGGCCCTCCGGTTCCTGCAAGGGTTGGGGAGGGCTCTGCCCTGCTTCCTGCCTTCTCTGTCCCAGTCTCATCAAGGTCATGGGCAAGGTCCCCAGGAATTCCTTGGAAATGGTGCTTTGTCCCTTACCCAGGAGGACTCAGAGCTGCAGGCTAAAGATTAGGAAATATCAGATATTTCGAAACTTGTGAGCTAGGTTGAACAGGGGAATATCATGGGGTCACATGAGGGAGATCAGGCCAGGCAAGGGTGGGGGTCAGCATAAGGATGAATTCCAGGGGCAGGAGATAGAGGCAAGGCTTCAGAGCACAAAGTGAGCCCCAAAGTAATGCATCTCGGGGAGAAAGGATGAGCTGATTCATGGTAGGATGATGAAGGAGAGGAGGAGGCCAGGGAGGAGCAGTGATTCTTTCATTCATTTATTCCTCCGTTAGGCACATGATACACAAAGCAGGGTCCAGGCAGCTAGCTAGTAGTGTCCCTGTCTCAGCAGTGGTCTGGTGAGCAGGGAAGATGATGTAGTAGAGAGGGCTGGGACAACACAGGCACAGGAGAGCATGGTGGCTTTCCTCCTGAGGCTTTCCTGAGTCTGGAGGTCAGTGCTAGCTCCGGGAACCTTGACAATGGCTAGGGCATAGGAGCGTGTCTGATTGATGCCAGCTCTTGGACATTTTGCTTCCTAACTCTCTCTCTATTGAATGAACCCGTGGAATAAGATCACTGAAGTGGAATGACAGGGATTTTGTTGGTTTCCCATAGCCTTGGTTGACAGCAGCTTCTTGTTCTGGGAAACGTCATGTCAGCCTCAGGGAGTGAGAGTGCAGTGATTGATTAGCAATGCCTGTCCTGGCAGGGCAGGGTGATTTCTATGCTGTGCACCTGCCATCCTGCACATATGGGCTCCAGCTCAGACCACCTCTAACACACTGCCCCATCGCCAGCATTTCCATCCTACTTGTGACAATGTTTTATTTTCACAATCTTCCCCCAACAATTAAAACATGTCAGGGACCCATGTAAGACTATCTTTTTCACTATCATCGCTGTTTACAGAGGTGTGTGTTTGTGAAGGGTGATGATTTCACTAGCAGTTCCTGAGGAATGAATGCATCAATGCATTTATTTATTCATTCAGCCATTCATTCATCCACTCATCCCCCACCCCACTCCAAGTCATCAAGCATCTTCATCTCAGACCTGGAAATAGGAGAGGAATTAGGACTCACTAGGCTCCAGGACTGGCAAACAGAAATGCATGAATCCACCTGGTGTACTGGGACTAAGTTGGGGGTCATAGTGAGCTGTGGTGACAAGGGGAAAAGAGATTCTTTCTGGGGACAGGGTCCAATAAGATCCTCAGGACAGGTGACTTGTGCTGGGCAATGACAGGGGCAGGGACCTGGGCAATGGGGACAGTGGACAGAGGGAAAGGGAACAGTGTGGCTCACAGTGCCCTCTGATGCACAGGAGGTTGCAGTGCACAGCAAGGAGGAGCAGCCCCTCTGAGTTGAATGTCCAGGCCTTATAAGGCAGGTACAGTGGGGACACAGCACCCACCTGCCTGTAATTTCTGTCACATCTGGTGCCCAGGTTTACAGGTGCAGGACCTGAGGCTGCAGAGGAAGGGTCCTGAGGGTCTAGATCATGGTCATCAGCTGATGGGGGCAGCATTGAGCCTGGACCCAAGGGTCACCCAGGAGCCCAGGCTGCCTCCGGTTCCCCCAGCACACACCCATCACAAGCCCTTTGCTTCCTCTCCTGCAGTCCAGCCCCCACCTCCCAAGGACATCCAAGTCAGCCCCTCTGGGGACCATTTCCT